AAACGGCCACTCTTAGGGAGGAGGTACAATAGTGTTGGACACGCTTTGAAATCCGACTGCCTAGCACTGCAGTCCAGACTCTGCCATTAGCTGGATGATCTCAGGCAAATTCCTCAGCCTATGCAGGCCTCGGTTCCTCAACTAGCAAAACGATGCTGCCCCGGCTGGCCAAGCCCACGATGACGTTTGCCAAGTCCTCGGCAGAACATAGGCCGTTTTACACGGTCACGTGGACAGACGCGTTTCCCTTCAATAGCAGTTGCTTGCAACCTGAGGATGAAGTCACCACAGCCGGCGGCCACCTCCAGCAAACCATGAGAATTACAGATACCGAGCTTGCCGCCCAGGAGTCAAGTCCTCCGTAAGTGAACTTGTACCAGTGCCGTTGAGATGTCCCGAGAAAGCTGAAAACCCGTGTTGCTACCTGTTCCACCTGCGGCCAACTACGAGGGGGACGCTGGGAAAGAGGGGCCACCCCTCGCACAACCAGGGTGCAAGCTACATCGGGAACATGCACTAGCCAAAGGCACTGAGACCTCACCAAGTGACTGGCCAGCCAAGGTCCTGATGCCCGGCGCTTAGGAAGCGGCTTTGACAGCACCGGCCACGGACTCCACCTCTCCTGCGCCCTGATCATGGAGTATCACACGAGTCACAGGCACATGTCTAGGTGTGTATTCTTGCCGCCTGATCAGATGTATCAGTTTGACTTTTTTGAAAAAAATAGCACCCAGTGGTGTGGGGAAGAGTGGTGAGACCCGGAGCTGCTGATCTAGCAGGCGGCTCACCAACCCAGCGACGTGGGGGCAGCCCTTCGGGGGCGGGAGCCGTGAAACGGCGCCATCATAGAGCTCCTCTGAGCCTCGCTGCCGTCCTCCCGTCCCCAGCCAGCAAACTGCCGCGGGGAGTGCGCCCTGCTCTGCGCTCTCTCCAATGGCGTCGGCCACGGGGGCCACAGCGAAGGCCGAGCGGATCCTGGTCCTTGCCCCTCCTGCAGACCTCAAACTCAAAGGCCCCTTCGCAGATGCAGTCACTACAAATCTTAAGCTGTGAAGCCCATCGGACAGAAATGTACGTTTCAAAGTGAAGGCCACAGCACGTCCTCGGCACTGTGCGAGGCCCAGCGGTGGAGCCAGCGAGCCAGGGTCGGCCGCGACGGTTTCAGGAACGCTGCAGCCTTTGCCCACGGTCCCCGGGAGAGAAAACACACGGTTACAGTACAGACAATTTTTGCTCCACCAAACAGTTCGGATATGACAGCTCTGTGGAAGGAGGCAAAACCCGATGAATTAATGGATTCTAAATTGAGATGTGTTTTTGAAGTGCCCAATGAAAATGATAAATCAAATGATACAGAACTTAGCAAAGCTGTTCCGCTAAAATTCATCTCAGCAAGAGGGACCCATGCCAAAGCCACACAGTGTTTCCCTCAATGATACTGAAACAGGGAAAGCCACAGAAGAGTGTAAAAGGCTTCAGGGAGAAATGATGAAGCTACCAGAAGAAAACTGACACCTGAGAGAGGGAGGCTTGAGGCCGAGAGAGGCAGCACACCCGGATAAAGCGGGCTCAGCCTCAACGGCATCCTTCAGAGAATCACGGGTCCTCTTCCTTCACCTCTTCTAACTGTAGCCGTTTTCACTGGGTTCTTTCTAGGGAAATTCGCCTTGTAGAGTGAAGCATGCAGAGTCCTATTTTATTTTCTCAGAAGATCTGTTTACCTACCAGTTTATTGGTAGTATGGCCCATGATGACCATTTTGTGTGTGTGTGTGTGTGTGTGTACAGTGTCATATAAGCTTTGCCTTTAATGATCTTTATGGTTAGCACACACACACAAAACCAGGCTGCTGGGCTACTGGACAAATCATACATTACCAGATCATCACTAGCAGCTGTCAGTTGCACATTCAGTCCTTTATGAAATTTATAAATAAAGAATTGTTCTTTTTTTGTGGTTTTAATGAGAGTTCATTGTCTTATCCCTTGTGAGGCAGTTGCTGACAGCTGTTCATCCTTACAATCCTGTCCCATGGTATTTAACATAAAAAATAAATAAAATTTAACATTCTTGCTCAATTAAAAAAAAAAGCACTGGCTACTTAGGAGATTATACCGGTTTTTCCTTTACAATTGTCATGTAAGGTCTCCTTTCAAATGCATTTAGCATAACTGACTGAAAATTGAGAAACACTGCCATAAGCCAGTAATCGCAGATTCTGGTCCTGATTATGGTCCCAAAAACTGTGCACCAGGCGGGCACAGCTGATGCCTCCTTCAACTCGGCCACCCACAGGAGCGGTCCCAGCTATGGAAGACTTTCAGCTGGGTCGACTTCCCAGTTCCATTTCTCGCTTCTTTTCTAAGTGGGCTTTTTATTACTTGCGCCATACTTTAAAGCACAGAAAACATCTTAGCACCTGAACTGGAGTGACATCTCTGAATGGAATGAGCTAACTTGTTAGTTAAGTAATAAGTATTAAACTGAAATGTATATAGCCTCCTGTCACTGCCATCCCCGATTCTTATTTTGGCATTTCCGAGCTACAGGAAGAGTTATGAGAATACAAAGAGGAGAAATTGTCACCCCCACACACTACTGGTGCAGTGTAAAGTGGTACGGGTGCTTTGGGAAAGGTTGGTGGGTCTTCAAAAAGTTAAACATGAAGTTACCATGTCACCCAGCAATTCCCCTCCCCGGTATCTATCCAACAGAAATGAAAACATATGTTCACATAAAAACTTGTATTAGAATGTTCATAGCAGCAGTATCCACAATAGTCAAAAAGTGAAAACTACCCAAATGTCCATCATCAGATGAATGGATAAAGAAAATGTGGTATATCCACACAATGGAATATTATTCACCCATGAAAAGGAATGAGGAACTCATACATGCTAGAACATATATAAACACTGAAAACATGTATGTTAAGTGAAAGAAGCAAGACACAAAAGCCACATACTGTAGGATTCCATTTATATGAAACATCCAGAAAAGGCAAATCCACAGAGACGTAAAGTAATGAACACATCTGTGACGGGCAGTGGCTGACAGGGAGGGGGAATGATGATGACTTGCTCGTGGTTTTTTCGGGGTGATGGAAGTGTTCTAAAATTACGTGGTAATGGTGGTTGCACAACTGTAAATATGCTAAACCTACTGAGTTCTGTAAGTTAAAAGAGTAAATTTTATGGTATTTGCATTGGATCTCAATAATGATGTTATTTTAAAAAAGAATACAAAGTAGTCCTAGCTGGTGTGGCTCAGTGGACTGAGCACTGGCCTGCAAACGAAAAGGTCACCGGTTCGATTCCCAGTGTAGGGCACATGCCTGGGTTACAGGCCAGGTCCCCAGCAGGCGGTGCGCAAAATGCAACCACACATTGATGTTTCTCTTCCTCTCTTACCCTCTCTAAAAATAAACAAATAAAATCTTTAAAAGAAAAAGAATAGAAAGTAGACTCATACAGCCTTCAATTGGAGTAACCAATTAATATTTTAATTAATATTTTGCCACACTTTCTTTCTCTTTTCTTGTCACACGTTAAAGTGTACATGTGTATCGCACACAATTTATGGCTGGACTGCTTAAAGTTAAGTAATTGTGACGCTTCTATACACTTCAGTATTCTCCTCTGGAACCAAAATATGAACATCACATTCAGGAAATTTAATACCAATACAAAACTATTATTTAACATAATAGTCCATATTCAAATTTATCAGAAATTATGCATTGTATTTGGTCATCACATCCCTTCAGTCTCTTAACCTAGAAAAATTCCTTTTTTCATGTCATTGATGTTTTTGAAGGATCCAAGCCAATTATTTGACAGGAAGTTCCTGATTTTGGAGCTGCACGACTGTTCCTCCTGAACTGGTGTAGGTTGGACATTTTTGGCAGGAATGCTGCACAGGTGAGCTGTGTCCTCTGTGCGTCCTGCCAGTACCCTCTGTTGTTACACCTGATTAGATGTCAGTCTCATTAGCGGTGACGGTAAGCTGGTGTTCACTGTTGGTTGGTCTTGGTCAGTGTGGGGACAACCTGATTCTTCCGTTATAAAGGCAGCTTTTTTCCTCTGCAATTAAGGTGGCTATTTGAGTCTCTGTAAATATCACATTTCCCCAATAACCTTGAACCGAAAGCTTTTAGCATCCATTCGTGACCTTTGCGCGGCATTCTATTCCTCTTGAGGCCTAGCTGCATGCATGGGACTCATCACTGCCCTCAATTTTATTCCACAGAGCGTGACAGCAACTGTGATTTCAACGCTGGCTGCACACTGGAATCACTGGTCCCCTTGGGGTGGACCTGGTCGATCACGTTTTTCAATTCCCCAGGGCAATTGCTTCTGATGAAGAGGAAGGGCTGACATTCCCCGAGTGGTAATTAGGGAACCCTGCACCGGTTTCATTTTGCAAGTAAGGAAACTGAAGCCCAAGGAGGTTAAGCGGCTAGTGGCACAAAAATTGCTGATGGCATAGTTTACATTTTTGGGGCTTGCATTTTAATATGTAATTCCTTATGCATGTTATTAAAAAAATAAAACCAGAGAAACGAATAACTTTTGTAGGGTGTTAGAGCTGACTACAGCCTGAAGTGCCTTATTTCCGTTTTGAAGGTGAATTCTGCCCTTCGTTCATTAGATCTTTGCAGTAACCTTACGAGTGGGTGAACAGGTCGCTCGGGCGTCGAGCTCCTCCGCCCTCCGTGCTGCACAATGCGACAGCTCGAGCCCCGGACCCAAGGCGGAGCCGGATATTCAAGGAGCCAAGCGGTTGGAGCTGCAGCCCCGGCGCCGGCCCCTCGGCCCCCCACACCCCCCGGACACGTCGGGCGCTCTTTCGGGGGGGCCTCTCGGAAAGGCAGCCTGCCGCGACCCGGACGCACCTGACGGGGACTCACCCGGCGGCGCGCCCCTGCCCCGCCCTGGGACAGCAGATGTGCGTGGGATCGTGGAAATGACAAAATCTGCAGGCCCGCCCACCCCACTTACCCCGGCGTGGTAAACCTTGTTCGCTCTTTTAATCTTAATGTCCAGGGAGGTCCCCATCTCCAGAACTCTGCTGCAGGCGCCACTTCCCGCCACACGTGACCAGACAGAAAGAAGCGCGATCCGCCCCTCCCGCTTGGGCCCCGCCCCTTTCTCCTCTCCGCCGGCAGTTGCGTCACGTGACCTCGCGTCCTACTCTGGATCGACTCCCTCGCCTGCCTTTTTCCGGCGCAGGGGCGGACCGAGGGACTATTACTCTTCGTCACGCCCCAGCCAGGCGTGAGGGGCGGGACCAATCTAGCCCCACCCCTTCCGCAAAAACAGTCCTAACGCCGGAAATACCCACCTGCTTGCCCGTTTGCTACAGGGAGGGGTAAGTCGGCTCTCCCGGCGTGCGCCGCGGCGGGGGCGGTGCCGGAGACGGGTCTCGAGCTTAGCCAGCGCGGGGATGCTGAGGTTCCCGTCAGGCTGTGCGGCGCATAGACGCTGCGCTAGTGCGTCGGTTTAAAGGCAATGACAACTAGGGAGTGCGTTCTTTCCCCGTCTCCTTCTCTCATCTCCAACCCTCGCCGAATTTACCCTGGGGGTTCTGGGGACCCGCGCCCCTGTGTCCGGCCCACAGCCCCCCCCAGGCCTGCTCGGCTGCCTCGTCCTCCACCGCAGGCCGGGGACCAAGGTCTCGGGGAGGGTTGGTGACCTCGTCCCACTCCGAGCTGCGGTGTCGGGTCATCGGGCGCGGAGGCTTGTGGGTACCTCCCCGGCGAGCGCCGGGAACGGGGTGTTGAATATTCATATTCGTGCGCAGAATGCGGGAAGGCGCGGCTTGCAGGCCTTGGGTCCCGGTAATGCGCGGAAATGAAAACCTCAAAGCCGAACGGACCGCCTAGTCTCGTTTTTATTCCCAGCCAGGGCTGACTGAACTAGATGCAAGTCATATATTGTTCTGCGGGGAGAATTGCTTCCTGGCAAGGCAGCAATACAATGTTCGGCAAAGTACTACGTTTAGGGAAATAAAAACCCTTGTAAATGTTTTAAACAAGGACATCTCCAATAAGCAGAGAGGTAAAATTAAGAAATACATTTGATTTCTTTAAATTCCTTGATGCTGATATGTGTTATTTTAAACTGCATTATTTCTCAGATTACTTAAGACATTTTCTGTAAAATGATTTCATGAATTAGTATCACGAGTGCCTCCCTCTCGAGAATGTAAGATATTTTATAGGACAGCAGTGACGGTGCAGTTGCTTCTGAAGGTTGTTACATGTGGTATTTCCCGATTGTCAGTTGTCAGTTTTCTGCTCCTCTCTGCCCCAGGGCTTCCGTCTCTGTCTTGGATATCTTCCTGGCAACTCCAACTCAGCAATTCTAAAACAATTCATTAGGGACTTAATAATCGCAGTCTAGTCTATTTGCAATTCAAGAAGTGGATCCCTCTCCACCAGACTCACCCATCATTTCCAACCGGTAAAATATCAATCTCAGTAGACAATGCAGGGAAACAGGAAAAGAAACGCAAGGCTCCACATCCTAGCGATTTGCTTCAGCAAACCCACTTTATACTTATTTTACAACAGAACACTACTTGTTCCTTGAGGACAGGTGTGCAATGTTTTACTCGTTTTTGTAGGCTGTGCATAATCCTTACGGGATGCTGGTGCAGTGCAAAGAACTTTAGTTCCAGCAATTACCAGTGTGATCAGTTTCTTGAGCCATCTCAGTGTGATGGCTGCCAAACATGAGTATTTTTCTCCAGTCGCTGCTATTTTCCATCCCTTCAACTACACCTTAGGGTATACTCTAACTTTCCGGACAACTTCAGTTACTAAAAGTCACAAGGTGTTCAAGTATCAACCTCATGGCCTGGGTGGGACCCGAGATCCTTTGTGAGGGTGGGAAGGTTCTCAGACACCTGTGTTTTCTTTCTGGCTTCTGTGTTGAGGAAAGCACTGGAGTTCCCTCTTCTCTGATACCTGCTTCTCCAGGTTACTGGCCCCTGTTTGAAACTGCTCTCTCGGGGCACATAAAAGAAGGCCTGCTGGTCCTTTCCATACATTTTCATGGGAGATCCATACCCAGCCTGATCTTTTCCATCACCCCACTGTGAGCACCCAGCAGTAGGACACCCAGTCTCCTGGGTGAGGGCCCAGCAAGAGCATTCATCATCCACAGAGTCCACCTGACCAATGAGAAATACGTGTCCTTGCCCCACAAAGGCCTGGACTGGAGGGTGCCCCGTGGCCTCTCCACTCTACCCTGTCATCTGTCTCTAAATCTTGCTCCCTCCTGAAGTACAGACAGGAATAAATCATCAAGAATGCTGAGTAGACAGATTTGCAAGTAGCAAATGGAACGCCACCCAGCCACCCCTTCCAGCAGGTCCCACTGAGAGCGAGCGGAGATTATTTTACAGCCCCCCCCACCCCCCTGCCCATCACCTCCTATCAGAAACCCTGTACTCTCTGCAAGGCTGTCCGCTGCCTTTCGTGTGTGCAGACTGAAAGGGAGAGGGTTGGGGAAATATTAGGTAGAAGCAGGCATAGGTATATATGTTATTAAGCTCCTGGGAGTGTCAATTGTGGGCACCTTTCATTAGAAGATAGGGGACTGTGTTTGCTCTTTTCAGCTATGAGCCTAGTGCTCATTCTGGGGCAACAGGAAAGGCCCTGCTAAACATCTTTTGTTGGATGCTGTGATGCTCCGCCCAGACCTCCATGTCAGGACTGAAGAATGTATTCCAGAGCTGCTCAGAATTTGGTCTCAACAGCTTTCAGCTATGTCACTCTGCAAAAACTTACCCTCAACTGCAGATAACTGCCTTGCTCCAAGTCACAGTCCCTTCTAGAGAGGCAGGCCGCAGCTGATGAGTAGTCACCTTAAAGACCTCTCCTCCTTACCCCCGTTTGGGACAACTTTGAAGGACAATGCCAGCTCCAGAGCTCCCTAGATCAGTATCTATTTTACAGAACAAATCACCCCAACAATTAGTAGTGGGAAACAAGAAACTTATCATTTCATGGTGTCTTTGTGTCAGGAAATTCGGTGCGGCTTCGCTGGGGTCCTGGCTCCCCGTCTCGGGTAGCTGCCTATCAAGATGTCAGGGCCCCAAGCACTGAAGGCCTGGCTGGAGCTGTGGGACCCATTTCCAAGATGGCTGGCGGCTGGAAGCCTGAGCTGCTCACCGTGCAGGACTCCACAGGCTGCTCCGTAGTGCTCATGGCCTGGCAGCTAACCTCTCCCGGGCCAGGCGAGCCCAGAGGGAGCGCAGCAGGGAGCTGCTGTGCCTTGAGTGGCCCAGGCTCTGACTTCTCACGTCCCGTTTTCATCCATTTATTGGAAGGGAGTCACTAAACGCAGCCCACTCTCATGGCAAGGGGAATTTGGCTTTACTTTTGGAAGGGAGCATCAGAAACTTTGTGCACGTATTTTTGCCCCACTCTGCTCCCATTGGATGGGGAACCTTGGCTGTGATTGTATCACAGTTCCACCGTTCCTTCTGTCCGCCTTAATCCAGCTTCCTTTGCCCCAGCCCTGCACACCTGTTGATCTAGAGAGCACCCCTCATATACTTCCTACCCTTGGGTCTCTCTCAGAGCCTGGCAACCCAACCTGCAACAATCTCGTCACACTAGCTTCCTGACTTACCTTCTCTCAGCCTCAGTTTCCCTCATCTATAAAGTGATCTTATAATGCCTCCATTACAGGGAAATTAGTGAGATTCATAACAGCTTATGTATTTATCAACTACTTCCTATGGGCCAGGTCCTGTTCTAAGCATAGTAAATGTTTTGATTTATTCTATTCTCACAAGTCTTAAAATTACTATTTCCTTACCTTACCAAAGGAAAAAAAAACTGAGGCACAGAAAGATTAACACACTTGTCCAAGGCCATGTAGCAACTAAGTGGCAGCCACCCCTTTTGGTTCCAGAGTTCACGTATGCAATCAGCACTCACCGTGCTGAGTGTGTGGGCCCAGAAAATCCTGGGCTTTCTGCAAGGTTCACAGGGTGTTAATGAAAAGGCCGGGCAAAGGACTGCAATTCAGATGTGAAAATCAAGCAGGGGTGCAGTGTCACAGTCCAAGGTGACTTTTAAAAAAAGGAATGGGGGCATACCATCAATTGGTAGTGAACATACTATATAAAGCCATAGCAGAATAGCATAGTGCATTATGTCCTGGGGCTGCCTAAGAAAGTAGCACAAACTGGGCAACTTAAAGCAACAAAGTATTTTATCACAGTTTTGGAGGCTGAAGTCTGAAAATACAGCGTTAACAGGGTTGGTTTTCTTAAAAGCTGAGAGGGAAGGTTCTGTTCCAGCCCTCCTTGGCCTGCCCGTGGCCATGCCACCATCTTCGCCCCATCCCTTTACAGTGTGTGTGTGTGTGTGTTTGTTTTAGAGTTGGGGGATGGGGCAGAAAGAGAAAGAGAGGGAGAGAAACATCGAGGTGAGAGAAAAACATCAATCTGTTGCCTCTTGGCACACCCCCTGATCAAGGACCAAACCCGCAACCCAGGCACATGCCCTGCCTGGGACTAGAACCTAGTGTGGAACGATGCCCAACCAACTGAGCCACACGGTTAGGGCAACATCGTCTTCTTTTTATGTGTCTTTGTCTTTGCATGGCCGTCTCCCCACATGCGTGTCTGTCTCCACACATTTTCCCTTTTGGGAAAGACATCAGTCCTATTTATTGGGTTGGCCAAGAAGTCCATTTAATTTTCCCCATAAAGTAAAAGACACATTTTTCACTTTCTCTAATAACTTTATTGATTTGGATATTTTGAGTATGTTGGCTGTCTTCCACTATTGGCTTCTGGTGGGTAGAGGCTGGGGGTGCTGCTGAACATCTTTCAGTGCATAAAACAGCCCCACAGCAAAGAATTATTTGGCCAAAATGTCAGTGGGACCAAGAAGCTTTGCAAACCATCTTTGGCACTTTCAATCAGTTGCAGCACCGTCTCCACACACCGCACACATCATTTCTTTTGCATTTCAGTTGCATTTTTACCTTTCTTGAAATAATAAAGCATAATACACCAAAAAATGTTCTGTATTTTCTTTCATTTTCAATAATAAGTGGCTGCACAAAAATTTACCAATTTTGGTAAGTTTTTTAAAAATGCAAACTGAT